TTGCCTTCTCTTGCCTTATGCCACGCTTGACACAATAGCGTTTGAAAGCATTCAAGGTGTACTCCCCCTTCAACAACTTACCTATCTCCCTTTCTACCTTGGTATGAAAATTCTGAAAGATCTCAAACACCTAATTTTTTGATTTAATTAAGTACACCCATACATTTCTTGAAGCATCATCGATGAAGGTGACGAAGTATCATGTGCTACCAAGTGACTTCACATCCATGTGACCACACACATCTGAATACACTAAGTGAAGGGTTTTCATATCTTTAGAGCTCGTACTTGAGAATGAGACTCTATGTTGTTTGCTTGACAAACATTGGTCACGTGGGGTCAAAGATGCATTCTTGATAACGGGAAGAATCGATTTCTTTACATATGGCCCCCTTGGTCTAATGAGGGTTCTTCCATGACAACATTAAATTCGCCGTTGGAGATTTGTACTTATGTTCTGTAGAGAATAATACTTCTTGCCCTTTGCCACGATAATAGATCTCTCCGTCAGCTTTAAGTGTCCCTTATCGAATACTAAGTAATACCCTTCATCTTCTAAACATCCTCCTGAGATGATGTTCAGACATGTATTTGGTATGTGTCTGATGTCTTTTAGCACTGACTTCATCGCAATATTAGTATTAATGTGCACTTCTCCCTTATCCACAATCTTTGATAAACCATTATTCATTGTCTTTACAAAGCCAAAATATCCTACTCTGTAAGAAATAAAATAATGTATGTATAGAGTAACGTGAAACGATGCTCCAATATCTACTACCCAATCAGAGTTGCACAAGCTTGATGTAATATTGATGAACTTGTCACTACAATTTGACCACACCATATATGTGGTCATTACAGTGATTGACTGCCATCATCCTTGCCATTGTCATCAATTTGTTGTTTCTTGAGCTTCCAACATTCTTTCTTGATGTTCTCATTCTTGCCACAATGATAACATATGACCCCCCTTCTGGACTTCGATTTAGCTTTATCCTTAGATCAGTTGGATCGATTTTGGTCCTTATATTTTGACCTTTCTCGACTTGGGACAAGAGCTTGCGAGTTCAGTAGGCTACTAGTGACTTGACTCATAGTTACTATCCTATCAGGTGCTGAGTTACTTACAGAGACTACCAAAGTCTCCCAACTGTCTGATAGTGAATCAAGCAAAATCAGAGCATGTAGCTCATTTTCTAGTAAAACCTCATCATTGCTAGTTGGCTAACAATGTTTTGCATTGTTTAAGTGCTCTACAATAGATCTTCCATCTCTGTACTTCATGTTCATCAATTTTTGAATAAAAAACACATTATTTTTGTTAGCCTTTCTCTTGTAAAGTCATATATCTTATTCCACAATGACTTAGCAGAGGTCTTTGTCAACATATGGTGGAACACATTTTCATATGATCATTGTCGAATAATTCCAAAAGCATTTTGGTCCAATCACTTCTACTCATCATGGGTCATACTTTTGGGCTTGTGTTCTACCCCTTCAATGAGTTTATATAAATCCTTTACAATATAGAAGATCTTCTATCTTTGGCATCCAAATGATCCAGTTATTCCCATTAGGCGATGTCATTCTGCTCCCGATACTGGAATCTATCTTTAACCCGTGCACACAGTCTACCACACTCTCTCTTCTCTCTTCACTAGTAGTTAGGGAGTGCCTCTATTAGTTAAGATGCTTCCAACGGTTAAGGTGCCTCCATCAGTTAGGGCGACTCCCACAGTTAAGGTGCCTCTATCTGTTAAAGCGGCCTTCGATGGCTAAGGCTTCACCGTTGGTTAAGATGTCTTCATCGGTTAAAGATGATCTCATTGGTCAAGGGTGATTTTGTCGATTAATGTTGACTTCCTCCATCAGGGGCAGCTTCATCGGTCAAGTGCCCCACTCGCAGTTAAGGTGTCTTAGGTGGTTAAAGTCCCATCAACTATCAAGGTGTCACTGTTAGTTAAAGTCCACCAGTGGTTAAAGTGGTCCACTATTGGTCATGTTGTTAACTGACGGTTAGTCAGTTAGGATATGCTTTGTACAATGGCCACTCATCGGCGGTCTCTTTTAACTAATAGTGCGTCCCCAAAATGGTCCCTTCAGTGGTCAAAGCTGCGTACTTGAGAGGTTTTCTTCATTGTTCTCCCACGCTCCTTTCAGTAGTCCAAAAAAACAAGAATGCCCTAGCCCTACCTAGGAGCTTTAACATAAACAAGGGAAAAAGAACATGTGCTTTGATAACAATTCTTGAGCTCACTCGATCGAGCCCTCTCACAGAACTGCAAATGCGAGGAGGGGAACCCAGATACAAGACAACTACACCAAAACATTTGCGTGTGTGTAAGAGTCAACATAAGAAGCAAATAAATGAAATAAAATATTAACCATAAAATTTACATAGTTCACTTTTTCAGACTACATCTGCTATTAAATTAATATTTACAAATTCATCCATAACTAAGCTTTCTTGGGTCGTCTTATTTTTTCTAAAGGATTTTCTTCTCTAGGATTTCATTATATGAAATTTTTTCTCAAAGTTTTTATTTTATTTTATTCCAAAGGCTTTTTCTTTTTGAAAAAAATGGTTTTCACTTTTTCTCTCTAACCTACTTCTCTCTTTCTTTTCCTTCTTCAATGCAAAATAATGGATATTGTATTTTTCTTTTCTACAATTGAGAGGTTCCTACCAATAAATAAAGGGTGTGGTTTCTATAAGGTTGCAACCCTAAACAATCCAATAAAGGCGCACCTTAAAAGTTTACCATAACATGTAATTTTGTTGTAAAAATTCTTAGTATTATCTTAAAATCTATTTTCATACCTAATTAGAAAATTTAAAATTTTAAGATTGGTTAAAATCAAGTAGATCTATAAATATATGAAAATCTTGAAAATGGACGTTCTAGATATTGTATTGCAAGATGCACTATTGTCGAGATTCAAAAACTTTTTTTTTTTCATATTCATAGTTCTCGATGTCGAGATGATTGATTAGAAAGCTTTTCAACATTAAAACAATATTTCCGATCGATTTATGAGGTGCCTTTGTAATTCTAGGTTGCAACTTTATATAAATTTTTTCCATAAAAACAAAAGTTGGAAAAGAAAAAACATGAAAGAGAGCCTAAGCCCGACATGAGGTTTCTTTATATCGGATAAGATTTTTTCTCTCTCTGCAAGAGAAGGATAATCTTTTTCAACCAAACAACTCACGAGGGTCTTTTCCACTTTTTGACTTGGCCTCCACGGCAAAACACTTTTTAAGCTTCCAAGATATAAAATTGTTTGATACGGGCTGGCCCATTTCTACATATGCGGTTCAAAAAGTGTGAAGCACCTATTTTAGATATGGATGCAAGTATATGTTCTATCTAAAAACAATGGAAACTAATGGTTCAATTGTTTACTTATTATTTTTAGTTTTTAAAATTTGTTTATTTTTTCATATTTATGATCTCCATGTTAGAGATTACATATCCTTAAAAATTAAGTCTTAAAATCCATCTAAAAAATAGATTTATTAAGAAACCCGCATAGAAACTCGATCTTTCCAAGATGGCGCTCTTTACATAGGACAATTACATGGAGTAATATCTTTGTTGTTCTAGGAAAAATCCAACCGTAAAGGTTAACCGGACATGGGGTTGGAAGCGATTCAACTGGCCTAACAAGTAAACCTGTCTAACAAATAAACGGTCAAGTCCCGGGCGATAAAAAAAATGTTAAAAAGAAAAACTAATAAAATGTAAAAGTTATATGTCAATCATGATTTAACAAAGCACATCCAAATGAAGTTGAAAATTAATGAAAAAAAAATGGATTTTAAAAAATGGATTTGTGCTCGAGCGTATTTTAGATAATTTTTGAAAAGGTGGGAAAATGTGAAAATAAATATTAATACAAATCAAGTGGGAGCGGACGAAGACCCAACCCAATCATTCTGATCAGAGCCATCAATGAAAGCATCGAGGTGCCGGTGTTGAAAAACAAGGTAGAACGAATAGTTTGAACGATCATCCCCCATCATTTCTTCGAGAGCTTCTGACTCGGGATAAGAACCAACTCTATAAACATGAAGGTAGAGCGGATCACGAAGATCCTATCGAAAAAGGCTCTCTCAGATAGAATTCTTCGATTGGAACAAGATACTCCAAAACAATTTCCAATCTTTGTCAAGATGATGAAAAACATTAAAAAATGCATTACAAACAAAATCGTTTATGTATTGGGATTTTATATAATTTTTTTTTGTTTTTTTAAAAAATAATCGGCCGTTTCACCAAAACCGGCTGAAACCAAAACCGGCCAAATGCCTATTCCGATCGAATTTGATCTAACTGGGCAGTTAGAATTTGAACCACCTGATTTTTTTCTACACTATGATACCTCACCACAATATTCATATGTTTGTTTCATGGGAAAGAGGACCAACAATATTACACTGGGATTTTCATCGAATGTACCTCAAACGGAATTTCTCCATGAGAGAGATTTCCAAGAAATCATCTTTCTTTATACGTTATGAAGCCACTTTTGGTAGAGATTTTTCATATGTTGTATAGCTACATGCCCATGTAGATTTGTTTTGGAAAGGGATTTAGAAGTGTGGCCCATGAAGATTTGTTTTGGAAAGAGATTTAGAAGTGTGGCCCATGAGGATTTTCTAAAGAGAAATTTCCCATGAACCAAACGTGAGAAATCAACTTGGTTAATAGAAATCTCATTCATAGAGATTTCCGACAAGCCAAACTTGGAATGCATAGCTTTCTCCTAGGCTCAAATAAGCACTCAATATTATCCATATCTGTATTCTTATCCCTCCAAGTACATCAGTGCTCCTAATAGAGAGTAGAAAAAAGAAGAAAACATTAGAAACTTAAAAATCACGCCCAGCATTCGAATAGGATATTTTTCATAAAACTAACATTTAAAAGGATCTCGATGTTGAGGAATTTCCAACATTTCATTCCATGGAAAATAAGGCAGAAAAACAAAGGTGAGGCACACATCAAGTTTGTATAGAAGAAAACTATATTCTAAATAGTGAACATCTCAAGAATTCAATGTTCAATTCCCAAAATCAAAGACTGATGATATACAGTAATCTACCCTTTTAGAAAAACCAAAAAATGAGAAGAAATACATAAGAGAAAAACAAAATGAAACCACAATTCATAGTCTTAAGTCCTGTAAATCCAGCAAGTGGACTTCTAGTATTTAGCTGACAAGGAGTTGGCCACATCTATCACAAAGCGATATCTCACATCGCCTTTTGCCAACCTCTCCATGGCAGTGTTCACATAGTCCATCTTTACAAGCTCAATATCAGCAGTGATGTTGTGTTTGCTGGCAAAATTGATCATATCTTGTGTCTCTTTCATCCCACCGATGATGCTTCCTCCTATAACCTTCCTCCCTACAATAACAACCAAGTAGAATTTGTTAAGGAGAAGCTGTCATACTCCAGCCAGTAAGGCGTGTTTTCATAATAGCTTAGGGACATTATTTCTTACCAGCAATTAAGGGGAAAGCAGGAAGTAGAAAGGGTTTTTCTGGCAATCCCACCACAATCAACTTTCCATTAGACTTGAGTAAAGAGAGGAGGGGTACCAATGCGTGTTCAGCGGAAACAGTGTCAAGGATATAATCCATGGTACACATAGCAGCCTGGAGAAAAATTAATCAAACAAAAGCAACCATAAATAAGGAGGTCATAAGGATAACCAGATTCAAAACATATGACGTTTCTCGTCAAACTAACTAATTGCTTTGAGATGTTTATAAATTATCCAGCTTTAAATATGGACCAAAGCATTACCAAAAAGAAATCATTCATAATGTGTGTGTAACCATTTAAAGTCTAGACAACTAACACTAATCAGTTACCCATCCAATTAAAAAGTATCACAATTTGATATCTTACCTGCATTTGCTCAGGATTGCGGCTCACTAAAAACTTATCAGCACCAAGTATCTCAGTGGCCTCTTTCTCCTTTTTAGGAGATGTACTAATGACTGTAACTTTGAGCCCAAAAGCCTTAGCAAATTTTATAGCCACATGACCAAGTCCACCAAGCCCAACAATCCCAAGATGCTTACCAGGTTCTGTGAGGCCATAATGTTTCATGGGGCTATACACAGTGACCCCTGCACATAGCAAAGGAGCTGTAGCATCGAGCGGTAGGTTTTCAGGGATACGGACAACATAGCGCTTGTCAAGAACTATCTTGTCTGAATAGCCACCATAGGTTTTAGTGCCATCATAGTAGATTGAATTATAAGTAAAGATGACTTTGGGGCACAGATTTTCAAGGCTTTGCTCGCAAGCCTCACAATTATGGCATGCCCCAACCATGCACCCAACCCCCGCCTTGTCACCCACTTTGAACTCCTTAACATTGCTTCCAACCTCTGTTATAATCCCTGCTATCTCGTGCCTGTAAAGGATTGTCCATTAGAATGTGCATTTTATACAAAATCGTATTGTATGAAATTTATGAGACAAATTGCATAAAATTAACTAGTCTCGATAACATAGGGAAAGAAACTTCGTGTGTTCTCTCATTTATGACACATGGTTAAAGACTCAAGTTACTGCCAAGGCCATAAGTATGTCTGGTTTTAGTTCAACAAACTCATTCTAAACGCTCTCTTGAATTTAGCCCTTTTTAGCTCTCCTTCACAGTAAACATAGCTTCTTTAGTTAGTCTAAGAGGTTATAGCAAAATTGACAAAAGACAAACTCGTACAACCGGAAATCAAGCCACTTGATTTCAAATAAAGGTTAATGCGAAATGATATTAACAGATTGGAATGCAAATTCTGTTAATAAACCTCAACAATGTAAACCGCCAAGTAAATTAGGAGGAACTTTCCCTAGCACTAAATATTGTAGATGGGCCACATGAAATTTGAAAGCAGTGCAACTGTCAGTCAGGTGAAGTTCAAATTTCGCCTGATCTTTTCACCCCTCTAATGTGATGAATACAAACACACAACTTATGCACTGCATATAAACAGACCATAGGAAAAGAGAGGGGCCCCTGTAAATTGAGAAGAGGGGTTGAAATGGCCGGTCTCCACTAAGTGCTGTATGAAATTTTTTAATAAGATTGACAAACAAATTACCATGTAGATAGTAACAGAACATTACAGCACCTTTGGAACGAACTCAATCAAATGTAGGAAACATCAAAATTAAGGAGCATAAAAAGAAATATAAATCTCAAGGATTAAGTGATTCTATGGGTGTCATATTTCCTTGAAAAATACAAGATGACAAGAAATATTTTGAAACTACCAATTCGTAGAGGTGAAATGTTGAACCAATGCCTTAAAAAAAAAAAAAAGGTATCATGGCTGTCAAATATCAATGAATCATAGGGTTGGTAAGTCAGCGGACATACTTATTCAAATGCCGATCCAAAATTTGACAGATTAGTAATCTCCACCGCTCTAATCATGAATCTAAACAAAGCAAATTTTAAACATGAATTTTTTTTTTTTTCTTGTTGGATTGTTCATGTTAATTCTCCATAGGTCATCATATCTGTGCTATTTTTTGGGCTGCCAAATTGTGCTAAATCAAAACTCTGACTTAAGATATGTTACACATCCTAAGTTCATGAAATCCGAGGTGAACTCATGCATCTAGGGATGCATAAACCATCAATAAATGGTCGGCAACAAAAAAACAACAAAAAGAAAGAGGCACACTTAAAGAAATCATTTATCTTTTGTACATGGAGTTTACAATTATTTTGGGATTGTTTACAAAAAAAATCATTTTTCTTTCGTACATGGAATTTACAATCATTTCCATTCGTTGGATATCAATTTCGATGGTTGGGTTGCGTCATGAAGTCCAAAACTATTTTTAAACTTTATTTTCTTCATATGGAATGCCCTTTACTTGCTCCTTAGAATGCATTAAAGTGCCATAATTATTTGGTCAAAACCAATACACAGTATTGGAAACCACTACCCAGGGTGAGTACTCCGCCCATGCCCAATCGTAGTACTTGGCCTGAGTGCGAGTAACTCAACCCGAATAAGGCTAAGTATATGGCAACAAAAAAACAGATTAAAAAAATGCAAAAAATTCAAAAAATAGGAAATGCATGTTTAAAGTAAGATTAAGCAAAATACATCATACTACGGTTAAAAAAGTAGTAAAAGAAATAGATTTAAAAAAATCATTTTATGACGGGAGTATTTTAAAAAATAATGTAAAAAAGATGGGAAAATGTAAACACAACTATTCATGACAAAAACACTTTTCAATCTTTTCCAAAATAATAAAAAACATATAAACATATATCACAAATAAATTTTTTATTTTTTAGAATTTGTCATATATATTTTTTAAAGTTTTTTATATATCCTCGTGTGGGACACACCTAACTCGAAAAAACTCGAGCAAACCCCGAGTATAAATAGTCAAACACGGCAAATACATCAATATAGAGAAACCTTGTCAACTACCCAATAACCCAATACTATCTTATTTTATCATAGGAATAATTTTAATCTCTTTACCGATAATTGTTGGTATTAATTTAGGCACTTTACAGATAAATGTGGCCAGGTAGAGTCACTATCTATTAAAGGACCGCTATGTTTGGGTAGTATTCAATTCCTTTTCTATAAAGGAGGAGGCCTGGAGATAAGGGTTTTCTATAAGGATATCATCCCTCACATAGTGAGAGTGGGCTTTAAATAGGGGTGGGTAGGTTGTTATCACCATTTTCCACCAAATTTAATGGAATGTACATAAATATGCTAGTTGTATAGCTTTATCCAACTGTCTCTAAACATCTAAATTTCCAAAACCAAAAAGAAAATTGGTTAATTTATGTTGCGATTTGGCCTGTGTTTAGTGTTACGCAACAAGACCAAGTTTGTTAGTCAGGATTTATAGAAAATTATCCCACAAAAGTTTTTTTTTCCAAAAAAAATTGAAAAGGATTTCACGAATTAAAAATAAGGGAAAAAACAACCTCTCCTATGTGAATAGGCGTGGGAATTATTTGCGCCAATTAATCCCAACGCAAATTGACAACCAATTGGTATGAAAAAAGTCCTGCACATAATCATTAGGGGAGTTTTTTTTTTTTTGAGAAAGTATATAATCTACACGTAATCATTAGGGGAGTTTTTTTTTTTTGAGAAAGTATATAATGAGACCATCTACCTTTGTCACAAAGTGGTCATAATTGATTTTGTTAATTGAATGTAAAATTTGATGGCTGTATTTATTTTATTGATTAAATTCAAAGTTCAAAAGAAATTTTTTTGACTTTTGTGTCACACCTAAGCTATCAGATTTTACATCGGATGGTAATAGGTAATCATGACCTCTCTGTATCTAAGGTAAATAGTCTCATGGTGTATAATCCCCAGTTTTTTTTTATGTAAAATACTTTTACAAAAATATTTTCATGCCCTTTTAAACGGCGGAGATTAATTACAAATTCTCATTGGTATTCTCTCGGTTACGACTATTCTCCACCCTCCTTTTACAGTGATGCACGGTGAATGACCCAATTGTGTACCATTTATTATGCACCAATTGTGTATGTTTACAATCTTACACGTTCCTTGTGCATGGTATGTTATGAAATTGGAAAAAGTTTATATAAGGATCATACTTGATAATGTAGAACTACGGATGCTCCTAAAAAATCTATCGAAAAAAGTAGTTTTAATGTTGAAAAACCTTTTAATTGATCATCTCGATGTATGATTATAAAAAGTAAAAAAATTTTAAGTCTCGCATTTTGTAACATATCATTTACCTTGTCTATTTTCAAGATTTTCATATGTTTATAGATTTATTTGATTTTAATTATTTTTAAAATTTAAAATTTTATAATTAAATATAAAAAAAAAATTTGTGTTAATCCTAAAAATATTTTACATCAAAATTATATATCATGATAAAATTTGAAAGTGCACCTTACCTCTATACCTACGGATGCGTCCGTATGCAAATTGCACCCTATTAAATTAAAGGTCTAAAGACAAAATAGGGTGAGCTTTCATTACCCTGGCACAATTGGATAGATGGTGTTCCCCCACTCGTTTTTAATAGCGTGAAGATCAGAATGGCAAATCCCACAATACACGATCTTTATCGTCACATCCTCCTCACCATTGGCCCTAAAACAATCCAACAAAACTCCAAACCATTAAATAGATATTAATCCAACAAATTCCAAACCATTAAATAGATATTAGTCCATTAAATTAATATGAGGCAAAACTGGAAAAAAGATTTTGTTATATAATCCTGAATCTACAATAATTAATATTGCGATGGCAATTTACACGTTATTAAGGGAATGTTTAATCTCAAATAATTGAAAAACAATTAGTGTGATGACAATAAACAGGAGATAAAAACATGATGATAAAGCATTCTTATCTTTAAAGAATAGGATAAAAGAGAAGTGATCATCATTAAATGTAATCAACATCTCCCTTTCACAAGGGAAAAAATATTATATGCAATAGATTATAATAACTTCATATCTTGACCATCTAAAAATTACCCATGATTGGTTATTATCTAAAGATTAGATATGATTGGTTATCGTAAAGAACGACAAAAAAACATTGAAGTTTGTATAAGGCCCAGGTATTATGAAAATAAAATAAAGCCTCGCCTCAAATCCTCCTCTATAAAGTTCTTTCGACAACAAAAATCTCCGTAATGGCTCTAAAATTAATTTCCAACACCGCCAATAAAATTTGAAACTTAAAAAATAGCACAAATCTTATGGAATTGTGAACACTTATTCTTAAAGTTTAGATAATATGTTACAATATACCCTGTTTTTAGAATTTGAAATCCAAATTTTTTTAAAAACTATAACGTTCAACCCGAGATGATCAATGTAAAGTCTTATAATGCTTGAATTGAATTGCAATTTTCTATGAGTTATGAGGTGAAGATTTAATTATTTTGATGGGGCTGCATCCCTATGAAACCATTTTACAAAAAAAAACATTCATAAAAATGAAGACCCAAGTTGTCAGGATGAAGTTTTTGTAGTGCCTAAGATTTATGAAAACAAAATAAAGCCTCACTTCAAATCCTCTTTTGGAAAGCACTTTTGGCAACAGAAATTTCCATGGGGCATTTAAATCAATTTTCAACACCCATAATAAAAAATTTGAAACTCAAAAAATTGTATAGATCTTGCGGATCTATAAACACTTAATTTTAGGGTGACATGGACAGTTTAGATAATTTGTTACAATATACACGATTTGTAGAGCTTAAAATCCTAAATTTTTTTCATAACTAATATGTTCAAGCTGAGATGATTGATGTAAAAGTTTTTCAATGCTTGAATTGCAATTTTTTTTATGAATTATGAGGTGAGGCTTTACTTATTTTGAGCCCTATCAAATAATTTTCCAATAAATAAAGACCCATCCACCACAAATATTAAAAAAAAAGAAGGAAAAAAAGAAATTTTTTTAATATATTTGCAAATACAGGTTGCCCTTGCTACTTTCTGTGTTTTTCAGAAGTTGTTGTTTACTGATTTACTCTTTGGAAGATGAATGAGGAGTACAGATAACCCATCTGTAGATTTGAATAAGGAAGATTAACATGAACTCAAATTACACAGACAAATACACAAAAACGATACCTTGAAATAAATGAAAAAAAAAGTACCTGCGAGAGAAGTTGAGGGGAGATAGAACACCAGATGCGTCCCTTGCAGCCCAACCCACAACCTTTTGAGGGTGCTCGTTTTCTGGAGAAATGGACATTTTGTAGAGAGAGAAACTGGTGAATGTACTATCTTAGAGAGAGAAAGTGGTAAATGAAGTCTCCCTTATCTCTTTACTTATCAAAAGTGGGAATGAATTCTCTCTTCTCTCTCTTAATCAGAAGAAAAATCACTAGTCTCTCTATTTATCAAAAGAAAAACTCTCCCTCTCTCTATAGATGTGTATTTATCAAAAGCAAAACTCTCTCTCTCTCTCTCTCTGTAGATGGGAATGAGGAGAAAACTAGTAGATGGCACGAGAAGAGTAATGGTGATGGTGCGGTATTTATAGAGGAGGAGGAGGAGGAGGAGGAGGAGGAGGAGAGTGGTGCTTAAATGGGAACGGTGCAAGATGATGTCGGCAATGACACACACCGTTCACTGCCTACTTTACCGTCGCCGGAGAAAGCGGACGCGAATGTATTTAAATGCGTCCCCCTCTTCAAAAATATCTTGAGAGTTTGGTTCCAGAAGTTTTCTGCCCACGTGATTAATATTGAAATTAATAAATAAAATAATATATTTTGAGAAATTTACTGCGCCGTCCGTTTTGCTTCTTCACCATTTTTGGTGGGCTTTACAGTGAGTGAGCGGTTCTGGCTATGGCTGAAGACGTGTAAATGGCTCGAAACCGGAGAGCCAAATTCGTAGACCGTGCCAGATTACCACTTTCTTGGGTGGTGGGCCCACTGCCCTACGTGGTGACAATTCCCATCATCTTTTGGGCACGGGTTTCTAAAACGTACGACTCGGTAACTTTCCCGTTTTGTTGGGGAACGACCGTTGGGTCCAAATTTTGAATCAGGGCTCTACCTCTCGAGTCAAATTTTTGGACTCATACCCGAACGCGAGCGGGTCTACGCTTCGGGTCTTAGGTCAGGTCTGAGTCCATCGCCACCTATACCCCTATAAAACGCTTTTAATATCACACTATTAATTTCAATAATTTTTTTTAAACCATCCCCAACTTACAAAAGTTGACATTTGTTTTAAACAAAATTCCCTACTTTTTGCTTTGTTTTCCCTTCTCTCCCTCTCTATATGTATATATAGATTTATATATACATGCTGGTCCAACACAAAATGTGCATGACCTGCATGACTTGTATAGAGCCCATATAACAAATGGGTACATTTTGTATAGAGCCTAGGCTCTAAACAATCAAATTAGAGCCCACCTTCAAATAGTATTAAAAAATATAGTTTCAATACTGAAAATCTTTGTGATAGCCTTAAAATATATTTTTATTGTTAAATATAAAATTTAAAGTTTAAAAATAGTGTAGATTGAATAGATCTATGAAAACTTGAAAATCTAGAACATCGACGGTAAAAAAATATGTTACAAGATGCACTATTTCCAAAACTTGAAATCCATTTTTTTCTCTTATCCGTGCATCTTGATGTCGAGCTGATCAATTTGATGATATTCGACCATCAAAACAATGTATTCGCGTGAAATTTTTGATGTAGATTCTAAATTGATTGTTTAGAGCCTCGGCTCTATATAAACTTTTCCCATAACAAATTGGCTCTACATTCAGCTTGTACCAATACGGCACATTTTGTGACATATTGGTGTTAGACCGAAAGATGTTGGGCGTCATTTTTTGGAAACATAGGGGGTTATTTTGATAAAAAAAAAAGTAACTTTCCAATTGGGGGGTGGGTGTAAAATATTAATAGTCTTTGGGCTAATAGTTTAGTATTAATAAATAGTCTTGGAGTTAATTGCTAGTATTAATAGTCTTGGAGTTAATAGTATTCATGGTATTGGAGTTAATAGTTTAGTATTAATAGTATTAATAGTCTTGGAGTTAATAGTATTAATTGTCTTGGAGTTAATAGTTAATAGTTTAGTATTAACATTCTTAGAGTTAATAGTTTAGTATTAAAAAGGAAAACTTATGTATGGACCTTGACCTATATTTTCAAAAAATTTACAGTTGGATTCTTCCTATTTATTTGTTTTGTTTACCAAGTTTTAGTACAATTGGTTCGATGTAAACCACATTTGTTTATTTTTTTATTACTTTTTAGCATTTGTTGGGTGACCTGATATTTGAAATATTCAGACCTATAATCTAATCTATTATGTTGTATAGGGTGGTCTAACATTTCAAACCTTAGACCAATACACTTAAAAAAAAAAGAAGGTATGTGCCGCGCCGATGTGTGGAATATGGAACCATCCCATACAAAATAATCGATCAGTTCGTAGGGTTGTTCATGTTTCAAACACCCCCAAAATTTGAGTGGTCGGATATCTTATCCATTGGACCACCCACAAGTACCAAAAAAATTAGGAAAGAAAAAGGAGAAAAGAAAGGAGATTGATGTCAAATCAAGAATAAGTCTGAAAAAAATAAATCCCTTTACAATAAAAATTATGAAGATATGGAAGGTAATTCTGACAATTGATGTGTTTGTAAATAATGTACCACAAACTTTAATCACAGAAATTCATTTAAGTGGAATAATGTGTGTTTGTTGCCTATGGTTAAATGAGAGGCTGAGTGTCCTCTCCGTTTTGGTTCGGAATATACTCTTTCTCGTGGGAAAGGGGAAAGAGCATTTCACTCTACTGCTTTTGGAATTTTATGCACGTGTATCATTGTGTTGAGGAAATGCTTTTGGAACGTGCTACATGTGTATCATGTGTTGTGGAAAGGAAGCACGGGATTTGACTAGGGCTGACAATGGGAGGCATGGGTCAGGTCCGTCTAAACGTAGACTCAGACCCTAATGTATTTGGATCTAGGTTTTGAATCCGAACGTGACCTGTTGGGTTCAAAAGTTGGATCCACACCCATATCCGTCGGGTTTTGGGTGTATCCCATCACGTCTCGGGTCTGGTCAGGTCCATTGCCACCCTCACTATGAGCTTCATTTTTTGTTGCCTACAATGGTTAACAACATAAAATTGATTTTTGAGATGTGAGCGATTAGAGAGAGAGAGACATTCGAGATCTAGAGAGAGCTACATCTCCAAGAAACTGAGGGGGGAGAGTTGCAAAGAGGGAGTATGGCGATGGCATTTGTCCATTTGAGGAACCAGGGGCAGACAAAAAGTATTGAAATGATCTTAGGGTTGAGGCTTTGGTCTTTTGGTAAACTAAAAATTCGATTTTAGTACCCGTCGAATCAGATGTAGCAGGACCCGTACCCGAACTCGGGACTATCCGGGCATGCTTTATTAGATCTGGACCCTACCCGTGGGTCCAAAACTTGGACCCATACCTGAACCTATGTCAGGTATATCTAGTGAATATGGGTCGGGTCCCGATCCATTGCCACCCCTAGATTTGACTCAAGAATTAGTATGACTATTTTCAAAAACAAAAACAAGGGAAATTTATTAAAATATCTATGAGAGATGCATAATTTATCATTTTGCACATTTGAAACTATTATAACTCATGATGCTATGACTTTTCGTGGTTATTTAAAATAAAATCACAATATTGGTAAATTGCTAAATTGTTCATATCTCACATGTATTTTGATAAATTCCCCACTTGAGTTATTTAGCACTTAGATGTTTTCTTTAAAAAACTGGACAGCCTTTGTTCAATCTTCGAATATTATCTTTTGGACACAGTTTCTGTGTGCCCCCAGCTGCCCGCATATTGTAGAAATGCAGGCTTGGCGATAAATCTTTTTTTAAAAAACTATGATTTGATCCTAATTTTTAGAAAATATATAATCTTTCACATAAAAATCATGAATATGAAAAAAAAAATTTGAAAATTAAAAATAATTACTATATTAAGAAAACATTTGGACCTTAGTTGCACTTATTTTTAAATGGACTGGCTATTCACAATATGCAGCCCAGCCCGCATGAAACAATTTACGTTATCTTTTTTAGTCATACAGGGTGCAATTTGAAACCTTTGTTTTTTATATGACCCGCTATAGTGATGGGGTTTGAGGTTACCTAGTTAACATTTGGGATCCTAAAAATAAATTAGGTTTTACGCGTAAGAGTAAATTGGCAATGTAGTCCCCCAAAAACATAAAATCTTGTTCTTTACTTATTTTTTTTTTTTTTTCCCCTTTTTGGGGATAGTTGATGTGACTTAGAACTCACATCCTCAATGTCAGAACCAGAGCAATGGCTTGCCAATGAAGGATTAAGGTTCTATAACGCTTAGGCTTTATGAAAACAAAATAAAGCCAAAATAAATCTTCAGCTCAAGTTTTTGTCCAGAGAGCACTTTCGACAACGGAAGCGGTTTCTATGAATGAAGTGATGGTGTCACATACTCGTCCCACTGATTTTGTAATGCTTTTCATTTTATTTATTGTTGCTAGTGTTCTTTTGCCCGGGGTTGTTTAAGAGCTGCTCATGTAATGTTTATTTTCATTCTTTAATAAAATGGGTAGGGCCCCGATATGCCCACTGATCTACCGAAGAGGTTTTTTTTTCTTGATGTTGTCTCTAAAATCAATATTTGTTAAAGTTCGAGAGAGCATGTACATAGACATTGAATGTCAAGAAGAAGAGAAAATAGATAACACAAGATTTACGTGGTTCAGGCCGAAGCCTTACGTCTACGAATCCAAAGCACTAACTAGCTAATTCTTAACTATTTTTGGATACAAAAATTACACAAATAAGTGCCTCTATATATAGAGGATAATCACAATGAATTTTGGTGATAGAAGAAATAATACGAAGTTTATCACCAATAACCAACTTGACAAGGCAATTTGACTTGGTTTATCTTCAACAATATTCAACACCAACTATAAAATTTAAAACTCAAAAAATAGTATAGTCTTCACTTATGTTTAGGGTGAATTAGTGTTTGAAATCCTTATTTTTTTTTCACAACCACAATGTTTAAGCCAAGATGATCAATTTGAAATTTTCCAATGCTTCAATTGCAATTTTCCATGAGTTATGAGACAACGCTTTACTTATTTTTGGATAGGGCTGCAGCCCCTATCAAACCATTTTCCTTATTTGTTTCCTTTTAAAATAGCTCTTCACGCATATGCATGTTTGAGAGAAAGTTAAACATTTTTTACTCCCACAAATTCTTGATATAGCCTTCCTAGAAATTGCAGTCATGCACATGCATGTGTGTACGGATGAACATTACATATTTATTTGTTCTTTATCATAAAAAAAAACATAATTTTTTATTTCTTGT